AAGGGCAACATACGTAACGTAAACATCTGTACCCCCATAATACGCTGAAATAAAAAAATAAATTAATTAAAAAAAAAAATAGTCCTGCACTGTAGGCATTTTGGGAAGCACTGGCTAGGAAAGTCCTTCTCCTTTTCTCTCACCAGGCACATTTTTCTTCATCCTTGCGGGTGCCACCCCATTCCTCCCTGCAGAGCCCCCCGCAGGTCACTTTGCCCACGTCCTCCTCTCTAACTTCATTGGCTTTCACCATGGCAGGGAGAGTCTGAGGCTGGGTGAGTGTGTCCAGTAGACTAGGCCCCTCAACAGCAGAAACAGTCTTATTCAACCTTGCATCTCTCACAAAGAAGCCAACTTGTAAGCATTTGTTGAATCAAATTGAATTGAATTTGCTCTGTCTACTATCAGTGAAACGTAAGTGTGAATCCCAAATTCCCTATTTTTTTCCTAGCTTTGTGACTTTGGGTGAGTTACTTCATCTCTTTTGCCTCACCTTCCCATAGAATGGGAACAATAATCACATAATAGACTTACTGTGAGTGTGGCATTAACTAACATAATAAAGCTTGACACATAATTAATGCTCAGTAAATGTTGACTCTCAGTTCCTTTTCCATTGAAACTTTTGCTAATACATTTAGCAAAAACTTAGTGCTGATAAGTTTTTTTTTAATTGTGATAAAATACATATAACAAAATTTTACCATTTTAACCACTTTTTAAGTGTACAGTTCAGTAGTATTAAGCACATTCACATTGTCACGCAACCAGTGTCCAACACTCTTTCCATCTTGCAAAACTGAAATTCTGTACCCATTAAACAATAGCTCCCCATTCTTCCCTCCCCCCCCAGTCCCTGGCAACAACCATTCTGCTGTCTGTTTCTATGCATTTGACTACCTACCCTCAAAAAGGTGGAATCAGACAGTATTTGTCTTTCTGTGACTGGCTCATTTCACTTAGAGTAATGTCCTCAAGGTACCTCCAAGTTGTAGCATGTGTCAGAATTTTCTTCCTTTTAAAGGCTGAATGATATTCCAGCGTATATATATGCTACATTTCATTTATCCACTCACCCATCCATGAGCAAGCACTTGGGTGGCTTCCAGCTTTTGGCTGTTGTGAATAATGATAATGCCACTATGAACATGGGCATGCAAACATCTCTTTGAGTCCCTGCTTTCAATCTTTTATATACGTATATATATATCCAGAAGTGAAATGGTAATTCTATTTGTAATTTTTTGGGAACTTGTCACACTGCTTTTCACAGCAACTGTGCCATTTTAAATTTTAACTAACACTAGTACCAATGAGTTTTTTATTTGATCCTCTGTATTAACTTCAACCAAAACTAGGTCCTTTCAAAACAAAAGGCCAGTAAGATTTGATTTATTTCTGTAATTCCTGGGTAGATGTAAGTTAACTTTGACCTCATTAGTACCAAGCTAAAACTTGGTTACAGTCACTGAAAATAATTTTTAAATGCTTCTCAAATGAATGTCTATCATCAAATAACGGAATGATCTGAAGAATTACCTGAAAATAACCCTTCCTTATGTTGTATATTTTCACTTCGTAATCAAAGCAGTGGGTTGGGAAGGCAGAAACTGGTTTCTCCCATTGGATAGAGAGATGCGTTCCTTCAGTCTCTGCTGTGACGTTCAGTGGAGGGTTTACTTGATCTAGGTCAGAGAATGAGAGATCAGTGATATTTCTTTAGCATCAGTGATCGGGGCTGATAACTCCAATCCACACACACTTCTCAAGGCATTTCTAAGATACGCTTTTCTCAAATATTTACCATCAGGTCTTAATCAACTGATCTCCAAGCCACAGGAAGCCAGTGGCCTCCCACAAGACTAGCGTATTGTAGTGCTGAAGAAGAGACCCCTCCTGCAACCTACAAGAATTACTGCTCCAAATGGACTTGAATGGCTGAATCCCTTTCCCTGAGAGTAAACTACAAGGCTTACCCCACCATCCCTTCTAACTTCCCAAGTTCAACCAAGCCCAGAATAAACCTGGCCGTGCAGAACACTTTTCCCAGGAGTGCCCACCAAGCCCTGCCTCTACCTGCCAGAGGTGGCCCTGGGAAAATCACTTCCCCTTTCTGGGCTTCAGTTTTTGTCTCATTTTGATTAGTGTGTCTTGTTTTGTTCTGGGGATAGAGCAGGAAGCCTCAGTTTTCTTTTGCATAAAAAGAATGGATTAGGCAACATTTGTCTTATGACTCTAAAGTTCTCCCCCGCTGAGATCTCACTTGATTGTCTTATGGCCATGTGAGGTGAGTGGAAATTATTTCTAAGTGAATGTCCTTATCTTGGGTTATGTGATTTAGATCTCACAATTAATGAATGGTAGGAACAAGCTAAGAATGGCATCTGCTGGCGTCAGAGCCTGCCATTCCCTAAGTAGGAAATTCTAACCGAGAAAGTCCTCTCTTTTAGTAATCCCAAGAATTGTCCTCAATAAACTAGAAATCATAAAAGAAAATGAATCCTGTAGTCTGTACCAGACCAAATCCATGTTCATGTTAATATCATTTCTTCTCAAGTCTTCCTCGGCATCTTTTGTTGCCTATTTCCATGAAAGTGACATTTTTAGGTCAACTAAGAAATATACTATTGAAGGGAATTGCATAATCTCTTTAGTAAGGGCTATAATTCTTTAAAGAAAGTTATATTCCACTTGATAGCAATGTGACAGCCAAATCACACCCTTTAAATAATATTTTAGTGTATTTATTCAACACTTATGCCAGGCACTGTTCTAAGCACTTTATGTAAGTACCGCGTGCTAACCAATTGCGCAACTGGAGCTCTCCAAGCACTTTATAATAATAGTAACACAAATCTCACGAAAACCTCACAGGAAGCATTAATTTCTCTTCGTTTTTCAGATAAGAAGATTAGGTGCAGAGGAGTGGCCAGCTGGCCCAAGGTCCCCGCGCTAGTCAGTGGGGCAGCCGGGACCCACATCCAGGCAGCCAGCCCCGCAGCCCCTGCTAGTAACCACTCCACCACTAAGTCTCGAATATTGATACCAAGAATGCTACGTGAGAAGCCCCTGATGGCTTTAATTAACAGACTTTTTTAGAGGAGAAAGAGCATCTTCTGTTTGGGAAGGTGAGACCTTGAGTGATATGTTTGGAGCTGAGAATCGCACACTGAGAGAGACATTCTAACTTGAGAGTGTCCAGAGGAGAGGGGCCAGGATGGTGGCTGGTCCTAGGAGGCAGGCGTGAGGAATGCACCTGAGGAAGAAGGGCCCCAGGGTGGGAAACGGGGCTGCCTTTGAACAGCTGAGGGGCCATCCAGTGGGGAAAGGGCTAGAGTCGTTTGGAGAGACTAGTCCAACCCAGGACCAGGGGCAGACATTTCACAAAACCAGTCAGAACTGATAAAAGAATAAACAGCCTCCCTTAAGCAGTGAGTTCACTTTTCCTGGTGCAGTGATTCTCAATCGTGGGAAATTTTACTCCCTAAGGGATATTTGGCAATGTCTAAGACGATGTTTTGTCACAAGTGAGGGAGAAGCAGGGAGGATACTACTGACATCTGGTGGGTAGAGGCCACAGATGCTGCTGAACATCCTACAGTGCCCAGGACAGACCCTCATAACACAGAATGTTCCAGACCAAAACATCAACATCAGTAGTGTTGTGAGCCTTGCCCCAGCAGTTTTCAAACATGGGCTGGATGGATACTCAGCATCAGAAAAGCAGTCAAATGAGGTGATCTTTTTTTTTTGAGACAGAGTCTCTATCTGTTGCCCAGGCTAGAGTGCCGTGGCATCGGCCTAGCTCACAGCAACCTCACACTCCTGGGCTCAAGCAACCCTCCTGCCTCAGCCTCCTGAGTAGCTGAGCAGCACCATACCCAGCTAATTTTTTTTGTTGGTTTCTATTTTTAGTTGCCTGGCTAAATTTTTCTATTTTTAGTACAGACAGGGTCTCGCTCTTGCTCAGAGCTGATCTCGAACTCCCGACCTCAAGCGATCCTCCCACCTCAGCCTCCCAGAGTACTAGGATTACAGGCGTGAGCCACCGCGCCTGGCTGGAGGTGATCTTTATAATCCCTTCCAACGCCGAGATTCTGCCACCCAGTCAATGTGGCTTTGGGTTAAATCTGTCTTACCAATGGCATGAAGAGCGAACAGTTGATCAAAGGGCTTGATCACGGCATGCTTGCTTGAGCCGTTAACATGCACTGCAAGCCAGTCGCGCCCTTTGCCATGGATAAAAGTCCTTGGAAACCAGCATGCAATATTTCTCTTCAGTGTGTCTTTGCTATATTCTTGGCATTCTTCGGTCCAAGAGCCATACCTAAGTTGGAACACTCATGAGTTTTATAAGGCTGGAGGAAACGACCCATTTGCATAAGTAAAAATAGGTATAGTAGTAACCTGTAATAGAGAAAATACTGCGTGTCTTCAGGGGCATCCTTGCCAACAAGCCAGGTGCAGTGAAGAGAAACTTGGTATGGCCGTAAGTGCGTGCAGTTATCTGCTACAGTGTTTGTGGTGCAAGTTAAATTCGCAACGGAGGTTCCAGGAGAACCTAGGTGGTCAAAAATAAAAAGAACAAAACATTGTCAATGACACCTTCTGCATTTTGTACTTCTTTGGGGACTATAGCGATTGTGACCATCTTATCCACTACCAAAAAGTAATCATCATCACATTTATAGAAATCCACTATTTGCAGAAGGCCAATTTACTGGAGAGTGAAACTAACATTACAAAACCCCAATTTCTGATATCAAAGAACTTTCCAGCTACTTTGGTTGGAGGTGTGGGGTTGTGTTTGTGAGATACATGTGTGAAAATTCAAGAGCAGTACACTGTCATTCAGAGGTTGGTGTCCAGCACAACGCCATGTTCATCAGTAACTAGCTGTGACACCTTTGTCCCTACTACTGCTGGGCCTGTGCATTTCCAGCCGTCGAAGAGAGGGTTGGTCGAGGAAGGTCTCCAGGGCCCCTGTCAATCCTAGAATTGTAGAATTCATTCCACTGTATCCAGAGTCTTCATGAATGACATAGATTGCTGCCCTGAAGGAAGTGAGTATTATTTTGCAACGTTGCAAAATAATATCACTACTCTAGAGACTCGATGTACATTAGCATGTTAAAGTCCTCTTTAACATACTAGGACTTTAAGGAGATGCTGAGATTTTAATGCAACGTCTTTACGTTTGTTTCACCCAGGATTTCCCAAAATTACGTGACTGGAAAGCCTCATTTTCATTCCAATCCTCTTGTTACAGTGTTAACTGCTGCTCTTCAGAACACAGTGTGGGAAACACTGGGCTTGTTTGTGGTTGCTGAGAGAAAGCAAAAAGCACTTTGTGCTGGGGGTCAGGGAGTCAGCCAAAGCGGGAGCCTGGAAAGCTAGAAGGGGCTTTTTGGCTTAGTTTAAGTCAGCCGCAGATCACTGGAATCGCTGTCAGCCGGTGTCTTTCAGAGGATAGAGGGAAAAGGTGATGGGAGAGAGCCTCCTATTATCTGTAGAGAATTTAAAGACAGAAAGAAGACTGAGTAAAGTTTGCTTTGAGATATAGATATATAAATAGACAGATATAAATATTACATATGTATATGTCCATGTACTACACGCCCAGATAGTCCATGGCCAGGTACAGTTTAAAGTTTCCATGGTCTGCTTGTCTTACAGTTCCCATTCAAGGAATTATTTGGTGTGAATTCCATTTGCTTCAAGACAGAAATAATTAAACTTTTATTAGTATCAATTTGTACTGGACCTAGCTCTCTGGGAGGCCGAGGCGGGGGGATTGTTTGAGCTCAGGAGTTCGAAACCAGCCTGAGCAAGAGCGAGACCCCATCTCTACTAAAAATAGAAAGAAATTAATTGGACAACTAAAAATATATAGAGAAATTAGCTGGGCATGGTGGCACATGCCTGTAGTCCCAGCTACTCGGGAGGCTGAGGCAGGAGGATCACTCGAGCCCAGGAGTTTGAGGTTGCTGTGAGCTAGGCTGACGCCATGGCACTCACTCTAGCCTGGGCAAAAGAGTGAGACTCTGTCTCAAAAAAAAAAAATTTGTACTGGAGTACTCAGAAAATAATGAAATTACAGTAAGGACAGCTGAAAAGTGCATCATAGGTAAAATCGTTACTCACTATAGACAGGTGGAATAGTGGTTTAATGTAAGGCACGTACAATGACCCATATTTGTGACCCAGTGTCTACCTTGGATTAGTCTCTGTACTTGAGATCAAGCCCGTGTGAACTGGCTGGTACACAACAAGTTGTAGCTAGTAAATGGGAAGATCTTTACAATACTGTTTTAAGTCCCCAGTGCAATTCAGGAGGCATGATCTTTTCATCCGGTGTTGTGACAAGAGAATAATTTAAAATTACTGATGGCTGGGTTGACCAACAGAATTGTTATAGGGATCACTCACATATCCCAGGATCTGGTGGCTTCTCCTGGTTTTTTTTCTTTCCCCGTGTGTGTGTGTGTGTGTGTGTGTGTGTGTGTGTGTGTGTGTGTGTGGTGTGTGTGGGTTTTCAAGTGTTTCATCAGAAGAATCACTGGTTCTAAGTATCAGAAACACCAACTTTCCACTGGAGGCCAACACAGAGACAGAGGGAGTCTGCAAGAATGTGCCAGAAGGAATCGGATGGGTATGAAAACAAGGAATGCTAGTAGCCCGGGGTACTTGGTGGGAACTGGTGACTGACTAAAGAAAAGCAAGTTATTATTACTTTGTCTACTTTCCCATATTTGCAAAGTCTAAAACATAAAACAGGATGTTTGAGGCCTGCTTTACCTGGTGGTGCTTTAAGTTCAGCAGAAACCCAGCTGCTGGCGAGGCGCGAGGGGCCGGGCCCCAGGATGGCCTGCACACTCGCTGAGAAGCCTCTGTGAAGCATGGTTGCACATTTGCTTTCCGTGTTTCTGGTTTCATACTAAAAATAAAACCCGCAAGTCATGATACACAACAGAGAAATAGCCTTAAGAGACATATTTTAACCAAATATGCATTTTCTTCCACTTTTCAAATGACACATAAATAAAATGCAATGAAACAGTTCTGCTAGAAAAAAATTAAAAACAAAACCATTGAAATAATAATAGGATTTCTCAATGATACATGAACATATTCCTCTTATAAAAACAAACACAATATTACAAGTAAAACTTAAGTTCCCTTTTAACTTGATCTCTAGTTCCAGCCACCTCCGTAGAGGTAAATGCTTGACAGAAAATTCCTTAGAATTCCATATTCATTGAAAAATAGTTATTATGAATCACTTCTCCTTTTGTTTGACTTTATTGCACACTTGATATTCAGCAGGTGCTTTAGCTCAGTTTCTCTGCCTCTACACCCTGCCTGCCTCTTCCCATTTCACTAGGCTACTCTCTTCTGTTTTCTTGGCCATTTTAGAGGAAACAGAAGACCCATATCTAATTCATTGTGCCTACGAAGTTACTAAACATTCTTTCTTAAGGGAAAGAATTGTTCCAAAGTTAAAATAGTCTGTGCTGCTGTTTAAAACTGAACAGTACGCACAGCACTAGTTTACAGCCATTGCTGCAGAGACACTACTGATAACATAACATCAAGCTAGTAGTTTTCTTTCTTCTTTTTTTGTTTTTACTTAAAATTTCATTTGATAAAGAAAATGCAGTCAAAATCCATATTTCCTCGAAATAAGGATTGCCATTGGAATAAACACTTACATCATCTTCTTGTGGGGCATTTATTTTCACGCGATATTCTGGATTAACGTTTCTTGGCTTTTGATCAGGATTTGGTTCCCAGTGTAAAAGAACTTGAGCCAAACCGGTAACTTTAATGGTGAAATTGACAGGCGGAAGAAGTAGAACTGTTGAAAGAAAGAGAATAGAGAAGTGAAGCCATGTTCAAATGCACATACACAGCACTTTTAATTTTTAAAAAATATTCTATTATGTAGCATACTATTTTATTATGGCTCTTAGTATATACCATACTGAAACACTTTTGGAAAAAATTTCTTTAAAATTGTTTTTAAATCATTATCCTTTTTACCTTGCCCAGGTATTTACCTATAACATTTACATGATTTTTTATTGAAATATGAACATTTTCCTATATCATTATTTGCTATAACCATAGTTTTCA